TGCTATGACAAATCTGGCCCAATGATAAATATTACAATGCTGTTAAAAGGAAAATGAAAATCGCAATTGAATCCAGTGAAAGCCAGCTTCAAACGGCGGTCAATTCAAACGGAATACACACCTAAGGTGAGAGAATAATCAACTACTTTTCTACAGATTGTTCCAATAAAAATAAGTTAAGATCCTTTAAAAATTGACTCAAATATTTGTTGTTAGTTTTTAAAAAAAAAAGTGCTTCAAAAATATGTCTCTGAGCTCATATTAGATTCCGGTTTGTTATAAGGTGCTAAGTCCATACAGCCAGACCCATCTACCGGTCGTATATATACTATATATATTAAATAAAATTATATAAAATAAAAATGTAGTATATATATAGCAATTAAAAAATATTTTTATTGGAACATTCGCAAATAGCATTTAACAATTTTATATAATCCTATTATATGTAGAAAAACATACATTAGATTAAAATCACGTATGCTCCATTGTTCCGCTAGAACTTGTTGCTCACAGTAGTGGTTAAGAAACCTCTGAAACCTTTTTATTCCTCTAAACTTATTTTTCATATATTTTTATAGCCAACAGTCGGAAATAGAGTTATATTGAAATGTTGATAAAACGTATCTCAATTGAATATATTGTGTTTTTCTTGTTCTGTCAAAGGGAGCTATGTGTAATATGCATCATATTTATGAAGCTGCACAGCTAACATATTTGCCAAATATCAATATTTAATGCCACGCAAATTGTCAAAACGTTGACACAAATACAGCAAAAAAATGTCCAAGGTAAAGCAAACAAAAGTTAACCAACTGAAAACATAGACAGCCAACAGTTCCACCAATTGTGTGTACGTGTGTGCTGTTGTTGTGTTTACTAGCTGCTTGTGCTTGTGCATGTGTGTGTGCGAGTGTGTGTGTGTGTTTGTATTTTCAGCTTGTGTCCTTTGTCAATAGCACACATAATTTTAAACATGTGTGGTAATTGTTTTATAGCACTCACAGGACACACAAATCACAAACACAACAAAACCCAAGCAGATATAAACATTATTTTTAAGATTTCCGAGATTGTTTCAATATAGACACATAGATCGAATTATGTGGACATGTTTAAGATAGCTCCCCGGACAATTTAACTCATTGAAAAATCGTAAATCCGAAACATTAAATGTGCCTTAAATCATAAGGACAGTTAATGTTATGAATAACGTCATTAATTATTTGTCATTTTAATCATTAAATAATAAATGCCTAAATCTATCTATCTAGAGAGGCTATTCACATTTGACATAATAAGAAATATATTTTATAGCCCACTGACTCTCCGTCTGTTCGTCAATCTGCATAGGTTTGTTGAAGTACACATATCTATCATAAAGCTCTTAAAAGAATAATTAAATAAAACCCGAATTTCTGTTTGAAGATCTTTAAGTATCAAAATATTCAAATGAAAGCCTCCAAATGCCAGCTTCGCTCTTCAGACGATATCTAATCCAACCCAAACTCACTAATTAAATTTTTGTTTTGTTTTATTGCTCCTAATATCTGCGAAAATCAGCTTCGGACTACTATATCATATAGTTACAGCAGCAACTATATGTCCTAAATTGAATGTATTTTTTTTAAATATTTGTTCATGCTATTCAAACAAAAACATAGATTAAATGCGTTTGTATGCTTTTAATATGAGACTAAATCACGTTAACATTATATAAATTATATAACCCACACATAGGAACAATCAGTCAAGGATGGGTAGTCTAAGCAAGGTCTATTTTTTCTTTGACAAATCTAAACAAAATACATAAATGTGAATCATTTTGATCACAATAGAAAAAATATATATCAGCTTGGGCCTAAAAAATTATTTGTTAATTTTTGTACAAAAATCGTAAACTATAATATTTTAACAGGTGCACAAAATGAAAACGGCAAGAATCGGGGAAACCAATTGCATACAAACTTTAAAAGTGGTTTTATAGGTATTTTCATACCCTGAACCCATTGAAAATGGGTAAAAGGGGTATAATGTATTTGTGCAAATGTATGTAACAGGCAAAAGGAAGCATCTCCGAAAAATAAGTACAAAGTATATACATTCTTGATCAGCATCAATAGCCGAGTCGATATAGCCATGTCCGTCTGTCTGTCCGTCCGTCCGTCCGTCCGTCCGTCCGTCCGTCCGTCACTCCGTCAGACCGTATGTATGAACATACGGTCTGTAGGTCTTCCTAGTCCCCGCGCAGATCGAGTTTGTTTCCGATATTCGATAACTTGCCCCGTTTCCAAGTAATCGATAAAAATCTATATCGAAATCCTGTTTTTTGCGCAATTTTGGAAAATAATAAAGGCTAGAGTCGCCAAACTTGGAATTTGCGCAGCAACTATGCTGCTAACACGTGCGCACAGAACCTTTGTGTTTCTTAACCGATCTTTATGAAATTTTCGACAGTACATCTTATAGTAGAATAGAATATAGAATATTTCTGTATTATCAAAAAGTCAATTGCATATAAATTGTGGCTTAAATTGATGGGCAATACAAGTTGGATAATTAACTTGACTTGTAGCTTTGTGGTGGTAGCGGGGACGCGGCGATAGGTATAAAACGAAAGATACTTGATATATATATACTACATGTCAAGTTTGGTGACTCTAGCTCATATTATTTGCCGAAACTGCTCAAAAACAGGATTTCGATATCGATTTTTATCGATTACTTCGAAGCGGGACAAGTTATCGATTATCGAAAACAAAACCGATCGAGCTTGTAGGAGGACCTACAGCTGAAATTTCAAGTCTCTAGCCCTTGTAGGTTCTGAGGTCCTTGCATTGATACGTACGGACGGACGGACAGAAAGACGGACATGGCTAGATCGACTCGGCTTTTGATGCTGATCAAGAATATATGTACTTTATGGGGTCGGAGATGCTTCCTTCTGCCTGTCACATACATTTGCACAAATACATTATACCCCTTTTACCCATTTTCAATGGGTTCAGGGTATAAAAATAAATAAATTGGCAAGTCTGCATTTTTAATGATGCTAACGGCATGTCACTCTATTTCGCTGTCAGCTTGAGTGGCCTTTAATGCCAACCTGGCGCTGACAGGGCTCGATTGGCATTTTCTAAGTCAAGCGGCAGATAGTTTGTGTGTACTTACAATAATTTAAATTTCGTTGAAATTGTCTTTAACCAGCCGCCTATAACATTTGCATATATAGAGCAATCACATTTGCGTGTGGTCGGAGATTCCTTCACATTCATAACAACGTACTAAAAAATATAAATTATGTGTCAAGTGCACTATGCTTAATTTTTTCCTCGGAATAATTTGGATCGTACGACTGGACCGTACGTCGGCCGTGCCCCAGATCTAAAATATAATTGCAGATAATTTGTGTGTATTCACAATTATTTGTTGAATATATAGAGCAATTATATTTGCGTATGATCGAAGATATTTTCAATTGCCGTGCCCCAGATCCAAAATGCGAGGGCAGATAATACCAACAAAATAAAACCCAACCAGAAAACCCCACGGCATTCATTCAAAGATGCCTATAGTGGGAGAAAAACCATTAGTTGAGAAATTAAGTTATATTTAGTAGAATATATATATTTTGTAGAAGTTTCTTTAATTAAAAACAACTCTTCTTCTTCGTTTTGAGCCCTGTCCTACTTACGTTAGGTGTCATAAATCCGGTAATGGGAGGTGACAACAAGCCTGATATAGCACCGAATCCATTAGTAAGGGTCATAAGTCGACCCGAAAAACAATTATTGGCCAGCAAAATACGAACCCATGGTAAACATTGAAAGGGTTAAAAACACCACAACCAAGGTCTTATTGCATCTAGCATATGAGGCTATAACCATTAACAGAACGGCGGCTACGCAGCATTTTTTTCCAGGGTATAGGCAACTTAATAGGTTTTTTTAGTAACTATTTAGAACCTCTTACTTGTTTGTACATTTTTTATACCCTAAACCCATTGAAATAGGTAAAAGGGGTATTATGTATTTGTGCAAATGTATGTAACAGGCAGCAGGAAGCATCTCCGACCCTATAACGTATATATATTCTTGATCAGCATCAATATCCGATTCGATCTAGCCATGTCCGTCTGTCTGTCCGTCCGTCCGTCCGTCCGTCCGTCCGTATGTATGAACGCAAGGATCTCAGAACTTATAAGAGCTAGAGACTTGAAATTTTAGCTGTAGGTCTTTCTAGTGCCCGCGCAGACTGTTTCCGATATTCGATAGCTAGGACGTTTCCAAGAAGTCGATAAAAATCGATATCGATATCCTGTTTTTTGAGCAATTTTGGTAAACAATATATCTTTTATTTAATACCTATCGCACCTCCCCGCTACCACCGGAAAGCTATTAATCAAGTTAATAATCCAACTTGTGTTGCCCACCTATTTAAGCCATAATTTATATGCAATTGACCTTTTTGAGAATACACAAATATTCTATATTCTATTCTACAATAAGATGTACTGTCGAAAAATTCATTAAGATCGGTTAAGAAACACAAAAGTGATGTGCATACGTGTTAGCAGCAGCTAGCGCAAATTCCATTTGGGGTTGGAAAAAAAGAGGGTTCAGGGTATCCCCTAGTCGGGAGCTCCCGACTAGAACCTCTTACTTGTTTATAATTAATCACAAATTAAAAATTTGGGTGCATTGTGGTTGATGTTCTTCTATATATATATATACATATATATATATATATATATATATATATATATATATATATATTTATTTATATATATACCAATATGCACCCAAATGTTAAATATGTGTGTGCAAAAAAAATCTACCTAATTATAAATGGGTATGGAATATCTAATTAGGAAGTCTGCATTTTTAACAATGCTAATGGAATGTCAAGCCCATTTCTCTATCTGTCCACTTGAGTGGGCTCTAAGGCCAATCTGGCGCTGACAGGACTCGATTGGTATTGACGACATCAAGCGGCAGATATTTCGTATGTATACCCATTAATTTCTTATTTCACTGATGCACATAGGATTTAAATATACATCCCTAATATATGCGTATTGCTGATATTCTTCACGACCATAATATTATAAAGATACGATTGACGTACCAAGTGTTCTTCGCCAATAATATTCACTTTTCTTGGTTCTTTTCCGCGGAGTAATTTGGATCGTATGACTGTACCTCGGCCGTACCCCAGATCCAAAATATGATGGCAGATAATAGCAGTATAGCAAAAGCCAACCAGAATACCCCACGCCATTCATTCAAGGTTGCCTGTAATGGCAGTTTAATAACGTTAGTTGGGATACATATGTATCTGAAAAAGCATATTTATAATGTCCCACTTACGTTAGGTGTCATAACACCGACAATGGGAGGTGACAACAGGCCGGCTATAGCACCGAGTCCATTAGTGAGGGCCATAATGGTTCCCGAATAACTGGGTGACATGTCCATAGGCGTCAGCTTCTGGCCAGCATAGTACGGACCCATGGTAAACAACGATAGGGTAAAACATACCACAACCAATATCTTATTGCATCCAGCATACGAGGCTATAACCATAAACGCTCCAGGAAAAAAGGCAGCTGCATGTAAAAAATCGAAAATTATCTCGATTGGCTGATACCCTCTACATTTTGCTCACCAATAAGCGTAAACAATTTGCGTTCTATATTTCTGGACATTTTTTCTGTACGAATTAGCCAATCGGCCAGACATCCACAAATGAGGGTGCTGCACCACATAGCAATAAAAGGGAAAGAGGTCATGATGCCGTTGGAGCGTATGGAAAACTGAAGTACATCGGCCATGTACTTGGGCAGGCAGGATATCATCACAAAGTATCCCCAGTCATGACCCATCTGACTGATGATCACAGCGAACAAAGCCTTGCTAAGCAGCAATTTTTTCCAGGGTATAGGCAGCTTACCCGACTTTTCTGGTATCTTTTCGTATAGATAAGCCATCTCCTTAGGTTTGATGCATGGATGTGTTTTGGGTGCACTGGTGCACAGGAATATCTGTCAAGGTAAGAGGATGAAGTACCAGAAAGAAGGAACACTACCTGGTCATTAAGGTATAAAATAAGCGATAAACACTTACAAAGAATATAAACCAGATCACAGCTAGAATGCCAAAAACGTAGAGTGTTATCGGCCAATGATAGTAGTGAAGCATAAGCCCAGAACATAAGTTGCTAATGACGGTACCTGCAGTCACCCCGCTGTAACAGAATGTGCCCAATGAGCCGCGCTCCTTGGCGGGTACCCAATATGAGAGGAGTGTGGTCAGAGCCGGGAAAACGGGTCCTTGTGCGGCGCCCATTATAATACGGATTGCCATCAATCCCCATTCGGCGCCATATTCAAGAGCAAGCGGGGACAAAGCAGTGCTCACGCCGGATATCAATGTGCAGATGGCCAAGATCCATTTTGCGCCAAACTTGTCCGCCAATATGCCTCCGGGCAGATGGGTGAGTAGGTAGCCGATGTAGAAGCTGCCCAGAACTAAGCCCTGTAGCTGCTCGGACCATTCGTAAGTGCCTTCGTTCTGTTTGTGATAAATAATTACAAATGAAATGAATTAAGAGACCATTAGGTGGTCTGTCTTCACATAATCAGGTAAACTGTGTGCAGTGTACGTGGGGCAACGGTTTGTTGGCAAGTGCGAAGATGGTGTTGGGAGAATTCAAAATGCTTATGTTCAATTTTTTATAGTTTGATGTTGCTAATGCTATTTTAGAAAACAGGCCCTGTATACACACACATTGTATCCTTTGTCGTTCTTCGGCTCCTCCTCCTTGGGGCACACCACCTCCCCTATTATACCATCCGCATCCGTTCGATTTATGGGTACTACCAGCTTGGTGATAACATGGGAAAGCGAGACGCGATTCGTATAGGCACAGATTAACGAAAAGAAACCCATTAAGGTGATGACGATGCGCAGTGGCAGTAGGCAGCCTGGCAATGTAGGCGTGATTAGGATCTGGTAAATTTTTTAAAAGAATCAATTTTCGCGTACCATGACTACAGGTGCGTCCCCAACCGGGTCTATGATCCTCATCCTCATTTTCCATTTAGTGTTAGAAATTGGAAGCTGGGTTACTATATGTGTATTCTTATTTTATTTAAAAAGTGATACTTATAGACAAGTTAGACAAATTTATTTTTTTTAACCAAGAATTTCGAGATGCTCAGGACTGGAATGCATTTAAATATATGCGTCCTTTCCCCCGATTATATTAATGGATTGACGGGGCCATCTTTAAACCTATTAACTATTCACTATTAAAACGAAAAGGAAGGGCTATCTTCGGCACGCCGAAGATTTAATGCCCTTGCAGACCAAACCTTTTCATAATGCTCATAGTATCTAAGAAGCACAGGGAAAATAGTTAATACCGAGTATGGTTAAAATATCTTAAAGAACAAAAAAGTTTTCCATACAACAACTTAGTTTCGACCGATCGTTCCTATGGCAGCTATATGATATAGTAGTCCGATCTTAATAGGATTTTGCATATATATGAGGAGCATAGTCAAACAAATAAATGCCGAGTTTCAACAAGATATCTTTATAAACAAATTTTTTTTTCATACAAGAACCTGCTTTTCTTTGATACTTTATGGGGTCGGAGATGTCTTACACATTAGATGCGTTACACATTTCACGACAAAATTATAATACCCTCTGTATGGGTATAATTAATTAAATTGATTAAATTAAATTAAATTTTGTTCTGTTGATGCATCGGATATTTTTATAACACATCTGTTGATTATGTTCTATGTTTCTTCATGAATGTTTAATGAGTCAAAAATAATCTAAATTTTGTTCTTTTTATAGTTCTCAATTTGTTCGCAAATGAAATTGCAATAAATATTGTTTTCAACATGTATATACGTACATACTCCTTATTAAAGACTTATGACAATTTCATACTACTCATCTTTTTAAAATTCTTAAATACTGGAATATATAGATCTTGATTAACGAATAAAAAACAATATATCTAGACGAGTTGTTCCACCCTTAAGTGAGGTCACTATGACAGCTAATCTACAGGAAACACATATATGTGATAGCTTCAATTGCCAACATTGAGATCAATTTCAGTCGAAGCTTTCAGGGCTGACCCCGAACTTATCCATTAAACGAATGGCGTTAAGAGACGTCGTTCAAGGCATGTTAATTGAGTAATTTTGACCAGCCCACCTGGTCTGGCCACGCTCACCTTTTGCACACACACGCAAGCACACCTACCTTATATCGATTTGCCAGGTGGCTCGTGACACCCTTGAAATCATTAAAAAAAAAAGGATATGGTAAATCGATTTCAATTTCAACTCATTTTAATTATAAGAGGGTACAGGTATTTTAAGTGCGCGCACATTACGATATAATTGTGTTCAATGCAGCACTAGTTATTTAGGCATGTTTCGCAGAAGAACTTGGATCGTACGACTGCACTTCAGTCGTGCCCCAGATACAAAAAACGACGGCAGATAATACTAATATGACCAGACCCAACCAGAATACCCAACGCCATTCATATATTGTTGCCTGCAATGGAAGAGTAAAAGAGGATTCTATACTTATGCATCATAAAAATAATCTTCAACTCCATCCCACTTACGTTAGAAGTCATGACACCGATAATAGGAGGTGAAATCAAGCCGGCTACAGCACCGATGCCATTAGTGATGGCCATAATAGTGCCCGAATAACTAGGTGACATGTCCATTGGCGTTAGTTTTTGGCCAGCATAGTACGGACCCATGGTGAACAGCGCAAGGGTAACAAATAACACAGCTAGGGTCTTATTGCATTCGGCATACGAGGCTGCCACCATAAACGATCCCGGAAGAAGGGCACCTAAGTTAAAAAAAAATAAAAGGTTCTAAACGAAATTTCTCAACTAGGTTATGCCCTATATATTAACCGTATACAGGTTCTAACCAGACTGTACTCACCAATTAATGTAAAAAATTTTCGTTCTAAATTTTTGGACATTCTTCCTGTACGAATTAGCCAATCGGCCAGGAATCCAGAAACGAGCGAGCTGCCCCACATTGCGATAAAGGGGTAGGAGGACACGATGCCGGTGCTGCGTATGGAAAGTCGAAGTACTTCGGCCATGTATTTGGGTAGGCAGTAGACCATAGCATAGAAGGCACAGTTGTGCCCTACCTGACTGATGATCGCTGCGAACAAAGCCTTGCTAAGCAGCATTTGTCTCCAAGGTATCGGCATTTTACCTGACTTTTTTGGTATCTGTTTGGCCAGAAAAGCAATTTCCATAGGGCTGATGCATGGATGTTCATCGGGTGTGCTGGTGATTAGTAAGATCTGCAATGGTTACAGATTAAGGGACAATTATCTATCAGCGAACCGAAAATGATTTACGAGACGGGCGATTGCTGACATAATGGCTTTATAATAAAATAAAACTTACGAAGAATATAAACCATAATCCTGTTATAAACCCAAAAGTAATGAGCGTTACCGTCCAGTGGAAGTGGTGGAGCATTTGTCCGGAGCAAATATTGCTTATAAAGATACCGACGGTAACCCCGCTGTAGCAGAAGGTTCCCAACGAGCAGCGCTCCTCGGCGGGTACCCAATAGGAGAGGAGTGTGGTAAGGGACGGGAAAAGGGGTCCTTGGGCGACACCCATTAAAATACGGATGGCTATCAAGCCCCATACGTCTCCATAGTAAATAGCAACGGAAGTAAAAGCAGTGCACAAGCCGGAGATTAAAATGCTGATGCCCAAGATCCACTTGGCGCCGAATTTGTCCGCCAATATGCCACCGGGCAGATGAGTGATTAGGTAGCCGATGTAGAAGCTGCCTAGAACTATGCCCTGTAGCTGCGCAGACCATTTATAGGTGTCTGGAGTCTGTTTTCAGGGGAAAGGATTTATTAAATAACTGGAACTTTTGCCCACTCACATTGTATCCTGAGCCTTCATCGGACACCTCCTCCGGCGGACAAGCCCCACTACTTTGGTGCGTTCGATTTATGGGTACAACCAGCTTGCTGATAACAAGTGGAATTGATACACGATTCGTATAGGCAACGATTAGCGCAAAAAATCCCATCAATGTGATGACAACGCGTTGTGGCAGTATGCAGCCTGGCGGTGTGATTGTGGTTGGAATATGCTAAATTATCGAGGTCAATTTTTAACCCACCAAGACTACAATTGCGAGCCCAGACAGGTCTATTCTCTTCATCCTCTGTTTCCATTTGGTGGATGAAATTGAAAGCACATTTTTTTTTGTTTTTTTTTTTTTGAGTTGTGTGTTTTGAGTGTGCAGTGAATATTTAATATTATTAAACCTGCTTTATTTAAAATGGGATACATTTAGACAAGTTAGACAAATTTATTTTTCTAACCGAAAGTGATCAGTAAGGATACGCTCGGGCCTGAAGTGGACTTCTTAATAATCGTGTTTATAATTATAGTCCTTAATCTTGCCTTTGCTTGGATTGAGTATTGAGGGCGATTTGTATAACATACCATGATATTGTGAAATTCGAAATCATTTAATCAACTCGAAAAATATATTTAACAATTTCAAATCTATAGTATCTTGGGTTTCCAATATCGATGCGAACGTATGTTCGAACTAATAGACGAACAATGCATTTTAAGAAGAGTATAGTTATTTAATATAAATTTTAAAATAAAGACGATGGACAGTTGATTTAAAGACTCAAGCTCTTTTTTATTTTATTCTTATAATTTTAAAAACTAATTTACGCATTAGTAATGCCAAGTCAAATGTAAATGCCGAAAAATTATATGATTTTAATATAGACGATGTAGCACAGGTGCCTATCCCTCCTTTTTTTCTCCGGCCCTTGGATCGTAGGGCTGCACTTCAGCCGAGCCCCAGATCCAAAATATGATGGCAGAAACAACCAAAATAACAAGCCCCAACCAGAATACCCAACGCCATTCATTCATTGTAGCCTGCAATTGGAGAGTAATAGAGAATTTTATAAAAAAAAAAAACGAATCTGATAAGTCAGCTTTAATCCTATCCAACTTACGTTAGGTGTCATAACACCAACAATATATGGTGAAAACAGGCCAGCAAATGAGCCAAGCCCATTAGAGATGGCCATAATAGTGCCCGAAAAACTAGGTGACATGTCCATAGGCGTCAGCTTCTGGCCAGCATAGTACGGACCCATGGTGAACAGCGATAGGGTAAAAAACACCACAACCAAGGTCTTATTGCATCCGGCATACGAGGCTATGACCATGAACAGTCCCGGAACAAGGGCGCCTAAGTAAACAAAATTTAAAATATTTTTAAAAAAAAATTGAGCTGTACCTACCAATCAACGTAAACAGCTTTCTTTCAAGATTTATTGAGATTTTGCCTGATCTTATTAGCCAATCGGCCAGAAAGCCACACAAAAGTGAGCTAATCCACATCGCAAGAAAGGGTAAGGAGGTCATGATGCCGTTGGAGCGTATGGAAAACCGAAGTACATCGGCCATGTACTTGGGTAGGCAGGATATCATCACATAGTATCCCCAGTCATGACCTATTTGGCTGATGATCACAGCGAGCATGGCCTTGCTAAGCATCATTTCTTTCCAGGGTATTGGCAACTTATCAGCTTTCTTTGGTATAAGATCCTCCAGGTAACTCATCTCCTTAGGTTTGATGCATGGATGTCCGGAGGGGGAACTAGTGCATAGCAATATCTGTCGAGGTGAACGCATGAGGGCAAGAATTCAACTAACAACTACGCTAACCTGCCAGATATGTAAAAAAACAAATGAAACACTTACAAAGAAAAGAAACCAGAGAATAGTTATGCCGCCAAAAACATAGAGAGCCACCGACCAATGAAAGCTGTAAAGCATTAATCCAGAGCAAATGTTGCTAATCACAGTACCGGCGGTAACTCCGCTGTAACAGAAGGTTCCCAATGTGGCCCGCTCTTTGGCGGGTACCCAATGCGAAAGGAGCGTAGTAAGAGCAGGGAAAATGGGTCCTTGTGCGGCGCCCATTATAATACGGATTGCCATCAATCCCCATTCGTGGCCATATTGAATAGCAATCGGGGAAAAAGCAGTGCTCAGAGCGGAGACTAGTAAGCTGATGCCCAAGACCCACTTTGCTCCAAGCTCGTCCGCCAATATGCCTCCGGGCAGATGAGTGATGAGGTAGCCGATGTAGAAGCTACCCAGAACTAATCCCTGTACCTGCTCAGACCATTCGTAAGTGCCTACGTTCTGTTTGTGATAAATAATTACAAATGAAATTAATTAAGAGACCATTAGAAGGTCTGTCTTCTCATAATCAGGTAAACTGTGTGCAGTGTACGTGGGGCAACGGTTTGTTGGCAAGTGCGAAGATGGTGTTGGGAGAATTCAAAATGCTTATGTTCAATTTTTTATAGTTTGATGTTGCTAATGATATTTTATCCACATTGTAAATATTTACAATGAATATGAGAAAACAGACCCTGTATACACACACATTGTATCCTTTGTCTGTTTTCGGGGGAAAGGATTCAGATGAAGCCCTTAAATAATAGTAAATATTAAATATAATTTGTGCTCACTCACTTGTGTGGTTTGCTTGGACACCTCCTCCGGCGGACACACGCCGGAATTTGTTTCCGTTCGATTTTTGGGTACAACCAGCTTTGTGATAACATGCGACATTGATACACGATTCGTATAAGCGCAGATTAGCGCCAAGAAACCCATTATGGTAACGACAATGCGCAGAGGGAGTAGACAACCTAAATCGGTGTGGTAGGCAATAGTCGTGGCTGCATAACCGAATCATTTAAAAACTACCTTTGCCGCATTTCTGTCCCCATGCGGGTCTTTTATCCGCCTCCATAATTTGATGTTAAATATAACTGCAGCTTTTTGCGCAATTGAAAATTTTTTTTTTTGCTTTTAACAGAAAATTGTAAACATGCTTGCTGGCAGATAGAAAATAAAGTTATGAAGATTGTAACAAAATATGTCAAATTGGATTATGAACTAATCTGATGGGTGGTTCGATGGGTGGCTCGATGCTTAAAAAATGTCTTCCCCATAAGGTACGGGGATTGTTTGAAAAGGTCGACTGCGCAAAATATAAGATATAGAGACCTAAAATTTTGAAAGTAGGTCCTCCAAGGCTGTTTAAATACCTCAGGGTATCTCCTAGTAATGAACATATAAAACAGAAACATTATTATAAATTATTATAAAACAAATAATGTCACAGTTTGCGAATTTAAATATAATGCAGTTCTGAAAGTATAAGTATCAATCACAAACAGAATTGCGACGGTTTCCTTACGTTTTCAAATCAAGGCATATATAAAATATTCCGTAACATTATTTACCAAAATATAATTTGCTTGATCACAAATTTACCTTCTTGAGTCATGATGGATTTGTATACCCTGAACCCATTAAAAATGGGTAAAAGGGGTATAATGTATTTGTCCAAATGTATGTAACAGGCAAAAGGACCCCATAAAGTATATATATTCTTGGTCAGCATCAATAGCCGAGTCGATTTAGCCCTGTCTGTCTGTCTGTCTGTCCGTCCGTCTGTCCGTCTGTCAATATGTATGAACGCAAGGATCTCAGAACCTATAAGAGCTAGAGAAAATGAGCTTGAAATTTTAGCTGTAGGTCTTCCTAGTGCCCGCGCATATCGAGTTTGTTTCCAAGAATTCGATTAAAATCGATATCGAAATCGTGTTTTTTGAGCAATTTTGGTAAATAATAAGAGCTAGAGTCACGAAACCTGACATGTAGCTTCGAGATTAGTATATATAAATCAAGTATCTTTCATTTTATAACTATCACCACCTCCCCGCTACTACCTCATAGATATAAATCAAATAAATATACTGCCCACCAATATAAGACACAATTTTAAGGCGATTGTCATTTTAATAATACACGAATATTCTATGAGTAGAGGCGGCAGAAAACAATATGGTCTGTTGCGAGTTCGAACAATTTTTTTTTTTTTTTTTTATTTATATTACTATGCGCCACGGGCAAGGCCGGGCTATACCCGCTAGTTTTATTATATTTGTCAAACAACATTTTATTAATTTGAATTTTTCAATGCTTTGTTAAATTAAATTGCTGAGTAAAGCTGATTGAGTTGATATATAAACGGGGGTATAAACGTGTGATTGATTTCACTGCCTTCTTTCCATTTTTCGCACTTCTTAGAGCTTCAAACTTTCCATCTGAAATGCTGGCATTTAATTAAAATTGCCGCTTATGTTGGAAAATGTGACTTAGGGTTTCCCGGGCAAAATATTCGTAGCTGACGCTTGTCTTCATAAATCAGCCGAGTGGAATGCTTACATAATTTGCTGGGCTCGTCACATAAGCTGCTGCTAAAAGCAAATTGCTGTTAAAGTAAATACGAAATCGTATTTCATGTCATACACGACAGCCGTATGGCACATACGACACATATGCAAATCTGAATCAAATTAGGAATCACAAAGTGGGGGATTTTAGCTTTCCTTTTCAGGTTTGTTACGTTTCTTAAATTAGCTAAAATTTCTGTTTCCACTTAGGAAATTAAGAATCTTTAAGTAAATAATTTTTCTTTTCAGTTTTCCTAAAGTCCTCAATTGTCATTAAACATTCATCTATCCTTTTCACCTAACTCAAGGGACGAGTTTCCTGAGTAACTTTATATATGTTATTTAATTGGCCTACATGTTTATACCCTGAATCCATTGAAAATGGGTAAAAAGAGTATAATATATTTGGCAAATGAATGCAACAGGCAGAAGGAAGTATCTCCGTATCACCTAAAGTATATATATTCTTAATCAGCATCAATAGCCGAGTCGATCTAGCTATGTCCGTCTATCTGTCCGACCGTCCGTCAGTATGTATGAATGCAAGGATCTCAAAAACCATAAGAGCTAGAGACTTTAAATTTTGAACGTAGTTCCGCAGTAAGATAAAAATCAATATAGAAATCCTGTTTTTTGAGCAATTCTCGTAAGTTATAACAGCTAGAGCCACCAAATTTCACATATAGCTTATTCATTTCATTTTATAGCTATCGCCTCCCCCGCCTACACACTATAGCTTTAAATCAAATAAATAAACCAATTGGAATTACCCACCAATTTAAGCCACAATTTCAATGCGATTGACTTTTTGAGCATATACGAATATTCGGTTAAGAAACACAAAAGTTATTAAGCAAAAGGTGTTCTTATATTGACACCTGTATGCGGCAGCTAGCGTAAATTGCAAGAACTTATGTATACACTAATACACACACATTCATTCGCGTTTTCTTTGAATTCTATCAACAGTATTGCAATCACGATTGTATTGTTTTCTGTTGCGGTGAGCTTAATACGTTTTTTCAGTGAAAAGTGAATTGTCGGAATGGCTGTCGAGTAGAGGCGATGAGAATTTTTTTTTTTCAATTTATTTTTATTACTGCTTAAGCAAACGAGTTCGTATCGCGAGCTGCATTTTGTGTTGGTATAAGATGTTTGAGTTGAAAATTAAAAAATAAATGTCTACAGTGTCTTTAAGTTCTGTTTCATGCTGAATTAATAATATAAATGCCAGAATATACAAAAATACCTTGCCTTTTATGGTATTCAGAGATTAAAAAATAACGACAGCAACCCTATACAAAATATGACAATAATATTTACACGTATAGATAAAATAACCTATTCAAATAATATAAAAAAATTTAATTAGATTCAAATTAATTAACTTTTTTTTACGGAAAACCAGAAAACCAACCTATAATCTTTCTTTGCTGGCTTGCCGTTAATCGTCGGCACGCTGTCTGAACACGTGCCAGCTTTAGTTCTAGTTTCGGTTTGGGTTCTAAATACAGGCAAACTGTCAGCTTGAGGTTGTAGCGCCTCGCACCGGAAACGGAAGTGTGCAGATCGAGAAATGTGGCAACTGAAAGTCGCCAAGAGCTCGCAGTAGAAGTTGCCCAAGTAGAGTTGGCAACGCGCAGAGGGCCACTTAAATACCTGCGAAATTTTTGCGCTCTTCCGCCGGAAATTGCTGCACATGCTGCAAAAAGAAAGACTCAAACAAAGGAGATTGGGCAGGGCGGCGGGTGTAAGTGAGCTTGTATTAAATCTTCTGGAATGCATAGTCGGACAAGGAAATGCTAAAGGAAATTCATTTTCTTTTGAGACGCACTCGGTAAAAAAAAACTGGCAAGTTGAAAAGAAAAATGGCAACAACTACAGTAAGCGAGGCCTTTGAGCTCGTGCAGCAAAATGTTGCACAAGTGCTCGGCACTCGTTGTGCAGCGCAAACAGTAAGCAAAACAGCAGCAACGATAACAACAAGTTAGCGTACTTGAGTCAAGCGTGCCCGACCACGAGATACTATGTACTCAACTCAGTTAAGTAATTGAAGATGATGTGTAAATATGAGTTTATCAAGAGATAAAGAGAAATATTCTTATTCTGAATATATTTACTACATACAAAACTTGGTGTCTCTGGGTTTTACATAATATATCATTTTAAAGCTAAACTTAAAACGATAATTAAAAACAGTCTTCATTTGAGTATACTTATTCAAGAACCTGCATGTCACACTTTGTATCTCATAAAGTCGGATAAGACTACTCAAAACAAATCGGTAATGCAATTTTAAGTAAATTGATGAACTTATGGGACAGATAATATCTAGCTTATAACCTATAGCTTATATAATATATGAGAAATTTTTAAGGGCAAGCTTAGATATCGATATTTATTGTTCTTTGTATAATGGCTAACTTGATATGATCGTCTTAGCTCGTTCTAGCCATAACAAAACATTTATACCCTTCTTTACCTATAGGTAGTGGGTATAAGATAAAAAAAGCGAGGCAAGCTCGTTAAAATTACAAATAGAAGGCAAGTGGCAGAAAAGTGCGCTGAAGGACACGTCTGGGGTCTTAGATCCGCCTATGAGGGGGTGCTGCACGTGTGTGTGTGTGGCCAGAGGGTTTGGGTGGGTGGATGGGGCCCTGCCATCTGTCAGGCATCGCCATTGTATGGCCATCGAGTCATGCAACTGCAAAATGAAACTGCAACTGCGACTGTTACGCGGCTGCATTTGAACTTATCACGACATCAAAACCTGCGCCAGCCTCAAATACCAAATGTAATGCTTACTCTACCCGCATTGAGTGGTGGGCGTGGCATGCGTGTTTGCCCGCGCATTAGCTAAAAAGTTTTTGTTTTGGTTTTTTATTCGGTTGCTGCCGCTGTTGCATATGCTTTTGGTTTTAACAGACTTGGTGGGTCTGCAAAAATCAATATTAATATATACCTTTTATTGGAACTCATTTATAGATCTCTAATGGAAAATTAAGTTAGTAATTTAGATTGGACTACGATATCTTATGGTTGCCATGAGAAGCATCGGATACTGATTTGTCAAATTTTATGATTTTTTAATAATTCGAATATAACCGTTCTTGATTTCACTTAAAGCCCTTTGGAATGCCTAGGCATTTATAGCAAAAGCTTTGTAGATGAGCTTAACGTTATTATCATCTTTTAATAGACATTTTAGCAGTTTTTATATATATTAAAATTGTTGCAAATTATTATCGTATAATTTTCGAATGACGAGAATGATTGTTTTGTGTAGAGTCAAACTTGTGCGTTAAACATTTTCTAGATTTCTCTTAAAATGTAATAAACTGTTATAGAATCGTTCTCTTGTTAAGCATCGGATGTCGGCTGATTGTCCTCGCAACGCTCACCTGTAGAGCCAGGGGCACATTCACAGCTATAGATGGGCTTTTGGGCAATGTTGAGCATAAAGCATTTTCCATTATTCCGGCAGAAGGAATTGGCCAAGTTTTCGGGGCATTCACCAGATCTTAAAATATGTAGGAACAAATTGTTATAGGTTATATCGGTATAAACATAGCTGAGCGATGTCCATAATAAAACCAGCTGCAGGCTGTTGATCAGCATGT